TCACAGGGGTAGTGTATCTGGTTATCTTCAATTTACCGTGCCTCTAAAATTAGGCTATTAGCATTTGACTCACTTCCATAATCTGAATTTTCAGTTTTGGATATGGCTCCCTACCAAAGCTAAACTGCTTGAGGGTGAGCAATTCCTGGCATCTGGTTCCCGACACTCACATATTTGTTGAATGAATGAATGATGTTTACCATCTGCATGCCTTCCCTGCCCACACACTTCTTGTATTCTAGGTTGGTTTTTGCTTGACTTTTTTTTTTCTTCTACTATTTCTTGGAAAATGGTTTTTAAAAAAAAAAAAAAAAGAGCATTGGCCTTATGGAAAAAAAAAAACAAAAAACTGGCCCTATGAGATGATCTAGGGCTATGCTTTTTAACACATAATTTGCAGCATTCATTGAATATTCTCCTTAAAATTATATCTTTTTCTTGATGATTTTCTACCACCTGCTATTTTACATATGGAGTTTTACTTCTGGTTTGCAGCCCTGAGCACTGGTAATACGGCAGAAACCTGGTCAAGGAAAAGAGCCAAAGAATGTGATAAAGGACCCTGTGACATGTTCTCTTTTTCTCTGTCCCATTCCGCCTTATCATCCTTTCCACTCAAACTTTTTGTTTTCTAATGTGTATTCCATGGTCCTGCTGAGAGAGATAAGCACTGAGTTAGAAATGACAATGACTGGCTATTCCCTTTTCTCTAAAATAGGAAATCAAAAGTGTGACCAGAAGGTGACCTGCGTCATTGTCAGCTAGACTACCTGTTAAAAATTGCAAGCCCGCCGGGCGCGGTGGCTCAAGCCTGTAGTCCCAGCACTTTGGGAGGCCGAGGCGGGTGGATCACGAGGTCGAGAGATCGAGACCATCCTGGTCAACATGGTGAAACCCCGTCTCTACTAAAAGTGCAAAAAATCAGCTGGGCGTGGTGGTGCGTGCCTGTAATCCCAGCTACTCAGGAGGCTGAGGCAGGAGAACTGCCTGAGCCCAGGAGGCGGAGGTTGCGGTGAGCCGAGATCGCGCCATTGCACTCCAGCCTGGGTAACAAGGGCGAAACTCCGTCTCAAAAAAAAAAAAAAAAAAAAAAATTGCAAGCCCTTAGTTCTGCTGCAGCTATGCTGATAACGGGTCTTGGGAGGGTCAGGGGTGTGTGTTTTTCCAGTGACCCTGAGCATTTGTCCTGCCCTCTCACTTTTGCCCCACTGCTCTTGACCAATGATGTATAAGGTCCACGCCAGAAAATTAAAGACAGTCTCAATGCTGGTACTTCATTTGTAGACCCTCCCATTTTTCAATAACCACCACCAAATGTATGCCTGCATTCAAAGAAGCTGAAGATCCCATCAAGAACCAGCAGCAATACTGAACAATTAGGTGAAGGGCATTGATTAAGTTTTTTGATGACTATAGCTATTGTTGATGACATCTATTCAAAAAACCTTTTTGGGTCGGGTGTGGTGGCTCACACCTGTAATCCCAGCACTTTGGGAGGCCGAGGCGGGTGGATCACAAGGTCAGGAGATTGAGACCATCTCGGTCAACATGGTAAAACCCCGTTTCTACTAAAAATACAAAAATTAGCTGGGCATGGTGGTGCACACCTGTAGTCCCAGCTACTCAGGAGGCTGAGGCAGGAGAATTGCCTGAACCAGGAAGATGGAGGTTGCACTGAGCCAAGATTGTGCCACTGCACTCCAGCCTGGGTAACAAGATCGAAACTCCATCTCAAAAAAAAAAAAAAATCCTTTTTGGAAACCCAATCAATAGGTCAGAAACTATTATTTTTGCTTTGCCTTTATTCTCAATTTTTTGGATCTTTTTGTTTGGACCTCTGTACTTCTCTCTCCCTCCCTCCCTCACTCTCGTGCTCATCCTGTCTTTCTCTCCCTCTAATTCCAGTTCCTCTTTCCATAGAACCTGTATCTTATAATCTAATTTTTGTTACTGTGGAACATTATGTAATAAGAGAATGATTGTTGTGGTCAAATGACCCAGGTTCAAGATCTTGACTTGATACTTATTAGCTGTGTGATATTGGACAGATTGCTTAACATCTCTCAGTTCCTGTTGCCTCAACACTAAAATAAAGTACTTATGGTACAGTGCTGTTGTGAGAAGTAAGTGAGACTAATGTGTGTAACGTGCTTGCTACAGATCCCTGTCGTCATTACTTAGCTATTTGTTGTTTTTATTATTAATTATAATGGCCACATGGAGAAGCACCTGTTAAACAGCAAAGTTCAAGTCCTTAGGTTAGGGGACCTTAAATATTGTGACAGTTGCTTTCTGTTGTTAGCTTCTGAAGATGTACAGCTGAGGAAGACAAGATCTTTGCCCTCAAGTTGTTTATAGTCTTGTAGGAAAAGACAGATAGATGTACCATTTCATCCATAAAATACAGTGTGTCCGGTGCTGTAAAGGATTCGGTGGAATCCTGAAAAAGGAGTGATCAATATTTGCACTGTTTGGGTCACTCACTCTGTTGCTAAGTGTATGCGTAATGAAAGGAAATTAAAATATTTTCTTTATTTGCAATTGTTTTATTCTATTTCAATGGGCACACATGTCATACCCTGATTCAAGTGGGTCTTTCTGTGAACTGGATGCAGTGGCTCATGCCTGTAAACCCAGCACTTTAGGAATCTGAGGCAGGTGGATCACAAGGTCAAGAGATCGAGACCATCCTGGCCAACATGGTGAAACGCCTGTCTCTACTAAAAATACAAAAATTAGCTGGGTTTGCTGGTGCGTGACTGTAATCCCAGCTACTCAGGAGGCTGAGGCATGAGAATTGCTTGAACCCAGGAGATGGAGGTTGCAGTGAGCCAAGATCACACCATTGCACTCCAGTGTTGCAACAGAGCGAGACTCCATCTCAACAAAAGGAAAGGAAACGGGAAGGGAGGGGAGGGGAGGGGAGGGGAAACTGTTACTTCCTAAGGACAACTCATTTCCACCTCAGTAGTGCCATAATATATACATGTTGATTTTTTATGTGAGTGCCACCCCTTAAAGTTTTTCAGTGCACAACCTGTGCAACCATGCAAGGCTACTCTGTAACAACAAATGATATTCTTCTGACAATGACTTTCATTATTTTATCTGATAAAGTAACTAGGATGATTCTTCTAACATTGACAATATAATCTTTTTTAAAAAAGTATTTTTTGACTTTTTTCTTTTTTACTTTTTAATGGTTATGGATACATAGTAGGTGTGTATATGTATGGGGCACATGACATGTTTTGATATAGGTATGTAGTGCAAAATAATCCATCCCGGAGAATAGAGTATTCATCCTGTGAAGCATTTATCCTTTGTGTTACAAATAATCAAATTATACTCTTTTAAATGAAGAGTTACATTATTATTGACTATAGTCACCCTGTTGTGCTATCAAATAGCAAGTCTTATTCATTTTTCTATTTTTTTTTTTTTTTGGTATCCATTAACCATCCCCACCTCCCCTCTAACTCCCCACTCCCCTTCCCAGCCTCTCATAATCATCCTTCTGCCCTTTCCGTGAGTTCAATTGTTTTGATTCTTTGATCCCACAAATAAGTGAGAACATGTGATATTTGTGTTTCTGTGCCTGGCTTATTTTATTTAAGATAATGACTCCCATTCTGTCCATGCAAATGACAAGATCTCATTCTTCTTTATGGCTGAGTAACACTCCACTGTGTGTCTGTAGCACATTTTCTCTATCCATTCATCTACTGATGGACTCTTAGGCTGCTTCTAAATGTTAGCTATTGTAAACAGTGCTTCAGTAAACACAGGAGTGCCGATATCTCTTCAATGTACTGATTCCTTTTGAGTGTATACTCGGCAGTGGGATTGCTTGATCACATGTAGCTCTACTTTTAGGGTTTTGAGAACCCTCCAAACTATTCTCCATCGTGGTTGTACTAATTTACATACCCACCAGCAGTGTACGAGAGTTCCCTTTTCTCCACATCCTCACCAGCATTTGCTACTGCCTGGACGTAAGCCATTTTGACCGGGTGAGATGAGGTCTCATTGTAATTTTGATTTGCACTTCTCTGACGATCGGTGATGTTGAGCACTTTTCTTATGCTTGTTTGCCATTTTTATGTCTTCTTTTGAGAAATATCTATTCAAATCTTTTGCTCATTTTTTGGGTTAGGTTATTAGACGTTTTTCTACAGAGTTTTTTTTTTGAGTTCTTTATGTATTCTGGTCAGACTCCCTTGTCAGATGGGTAGTTTGCATATTTTCTTCCATCCTGTGGGTTGTCTGTTCACTTTGTTGATGTTTTCTCTGCTGTGTAAAAGGCTTTTTAACTTGATGTGATCCCATTTGTCCATTTTCGCTTTTGTTGCCTGTGCCTGTGTGGTATTGCTCAAGAAATTTTTGCCCAGAATATTGTCCTGGAGATTTTCTCCAATGTTTTCTTGTTGTAGTTTTATAGTTTGAGGTCTTAGATTTAAATTGTAATCCATTTTGATTGGATTGTTGTACATGGCAAGAGATAGGAGTCTAGCTTCATTCTTCTGCATGTGGAGATCCAGTTTTCCCAGCACCATTTATTGAAGAGACTGTAGTTCGCCTGGTGTATGTTTATTGTGAAAAATGAGTTCGCTGTAGGTCTGTGTATTTGTTTCTGAGTTAAATCTGTGATCTTGTCCCTGTGAAGGTCATGCTGGCATTAGCTGGGTGAGATTGTTATCATCCTGTAGTAGCTTGACTGAAATGTTGACTGTTGTGAACCTGTCCTCCAGATGGTTGGAGGAATTTTGAATAATCACTTAATAAACGGCTCCCTCTCACAGGACTATTATGAAGGACAGTGAGGTATCTAAAAAGTATCTGGCCTGTAATGTTTTTCCATTATGTGTATATTATCTTGTTTCAGACGTTTAAATATATCACTACAGATTCATTGAATAAAACCTGACAATATTTATTAATAAAAAATATGAGGAATGATAAATCACTTTTCTGCCTTCTTCTTGTTTGTGTTTCTGTAGTTGATACTCCAGATCCCTATGTGGAACTTTTTATCTCTACAACCCCTGACAGCAGGAAGAGAACAAGACACTTCAATAATGACGTAAACCCTGTGTGGAATGAGACCTTTGAATTTATTTTGGATCCTAATCAGGAAAATGTTTTGGAGGTAAGTGAACCATTTGGACACTGTTAGATGGTTGTCATTCATGCTGACAGATACACTTGACTTTGTTCTTCTACTGCGTTCTTGTTCCTGTTAGCTATGGTTGGAGTTAGTCTGGGCAGCTTGGTAGACTAGAATCTAAATGGTGTCTGTCAAGTAATATGAGTATCTGTCAGGACATACAGGCGTTAGGCAGGGTTGGAAAGGCTTTTCTCCTTCCCATGTGCTTTGGAGAAAATGTATTTTCTGCTGTAAAGGGGAGAATCACTGTATAACAGAATATAAATATTTTAAATTGCCTTCTGAAAAAGTAAAAAGTATTTTTTCCCAAAATACTTGTATTGATTTTCTACATTAATATCTTTCTTATATTCCAAAGTAGAGAAGAGATAAAGTTTCATTTTTGAAAACATGATAATTGAATAAATCAATCAGGAAAATGTGAAAAAGTATTATAGCAAACATAGTACTCAGAAGGTAAAGATTGGCTGGGCACTGTGGTTCATGCCACAGCACTTTCAGAGCACCGATGCAGGCGAATCACTGGCGGTCAGGAGCTTGAGACCAGCCTGGCCAACATGGTAAGACCCCGTCTCTATTAAAAATACAAAAATTTGCTGGATGTGATGGTGCTCGCCCATAATCCCAGCTACTCAGGAAGCCGAGGCAGGAGATTCGCTTGAGTCTGGGAGGTGGAGGTTGCAGTGAACTGAGATCCCACCTCTGCACTCCAGCCTGGTGAATAAGGTTGAGTGAGACCCTGTCTCAAAAAAAAAAAAAAAAAAAAAAGGAAAAAATAAAAGTATTTTACCAATTAAATACTGAGATCTGCAAATGACTCTTAAATCATTTGAGAGATTCATTATTTGAAATGTGGTGGAAATTATCGATGTAATTTCCAAAGATCCATGGGAAATTTTATTTTTGTGCTCTACATTTCACTCTATAGATTACGTTAATGGATGCCAATTACGTCATGGATGAAACTCTAGGGACAGCAACATTTCCTGTATCTTCTATGAAGGTGGGAGAGAAGAAAGAAGTTCCTTTTATTTTCAACCAAGTAAGTAACACTGCAGAATTATTTTCCAGCCTTATGTTAGATAAGATCTATTGATTCTGGAAAGTTGGATTTAACACTTGGAAAATTGTATTTGTTTATAGAATGTTTGCTTTTCAAGAGAAAATTTTGTTTTTATTTCTTGTCCTAATTTTTAAAATTATTCTGGTATCTGTAAACTTTGGTTTGGGTATTATACCAAACAGTACTAAGACTTTAATCTCCTGTGTTGCTCCAAATGATGACACTGGGTTTCAGCAACGCCTTTGGACCCCACTGGCAGGTTTTATGCAAAAACATTGGGAGGATAAAGAGAGATGAAAAACCTAAGAGGGGTAGGAGAGAGCGAGAGAAGAAGTAAACAAACGCAATGAAAAACATTAGGAAATTCAAACTCTTCCAAAATCACATGTTTAGTAATGAATCTCTCTGGAGGAATACTTCTGTCTCAGAGCATCCTCAAGTAAGTGGGGACAAGGCAGCAAAAGACCCGAAGGAATGATCAGAGGTTACGGTTATCTTTCACTTTCTAGGTTTGCTGCATTTCGGAAATTTTGCTAGTTTATTTTGGAATAATGAAACCTTAGGTAAAATTTCGTGTACAGAATAAACTCATTGGATTTTGAATTGTGTAAGAAACTGACTTAGTAGTTTATAATAAGAAGGTAAGCAATGGGTGCGCCTGTATGTGTAAGGCTGGTTAACCACTAGTTTCTTGTTCTTGGGAGAGACAGTGTGTTTGTGCCAAGTCCCTGCACTCACTGAAAACGACCTCTCTCTTCATTCTCAGCTACTCCAGGTTGCCTTTCCTGTTACTATCCCAAATGACTCTTCCTCCTTTGAGTCTCCATGATAATTACCCATGATATTTATTGGGACTAAAGTATTTATACTGTTCAATTTTTCATTTTCCTCTTGTAGGCTAAAATCCTCTAGGTCAGGAAGCTTGAAACACTGATTAAACGTGCCCACAGAATTAATAACATAGATGACATTTATGGGATGAATGGATACCTATTTAGAAACCAGCGTAGCCCGAAGGCGTTTCTTAACTAGTCCATGTCATCAGAATGGCTCAGGTACCTTGAGGATACTCTGGTCCTTGCTCTCCTTGATGTTTCCACCTGCTGCAGAGAGCATTTCTTCTGTGTTATGCCGGGAGATGCACTGCCCACAGTTCCGTCAACCCCTTTGACAGCTATTTCATTCATTCCTTTTACAAACATTTATTGAAGATCCGCTGTGTGCCAGTCATTGTGTTTTGTGCAAGGAATATAAAGAGTAAGTTACAGGAGGTTCTTCCCTCAATTATCTCCCTGCGAGATGGAGGTGAGTAAGGGTTGAAATGAGAAGGAGATACCTACGTGTGATATAAAGAAATCCCCAGACAGTGAGATAAGCACCAGTGAGGCACGTATAGAGTGCTATAGGAAGGCAGAATAAAGAACGATTGTGTTGTGAGAGGAGGCCAGCGATGGCTCCATAGCAGTAGCTGATTTTTAACAAGTTGAACAGTGAACGGTGGCTAACACCTTGACATTGAAAGACAGGCTGTTTGGTGTTTAAATTCCAGCTCTGTCCCTTGCCATCTGTTTTATTCTGGGAAAATAACACTTAACTCTTCTGTGCCTCAGTTTACTCATCTATAAAATGGAAATAACATCTTTTAAGGGAATCATTATGATTAAACAAGTCAATTTTATTTATGTATATATAATATATAATATACTATATATTATATATAAATATATTTAATTATAATTAGATATATTTTATGGTTCAATATATACATTATGTATTACTTAGCTTAATATTAAGCATATAATTCAATAAGTGATTGAAAGTGATGAAAATATGTTAATACCATAAAGTAATTAAAATAAGCGATTAAAATGTATCAATACTTTAAACACATAGACATACGCGTCTATACATACAGGGCTTAGAACAGTTTCTGGCACATATTAGGCAGTATATAAATGTTACTTGTCATTGCTGCTGTTATTACACCTTAAGAAAACAGCAGGATATCATCAGTAAAGAAGTTATGAGCATTCTGGGCAGAGCGTATTGCAAAAGGCCAGAGTCTTGAAAGGAGAAAGCAAGCTGGGGCATAGCAAGCTACATGGCTTGGCAGGTCCATGTTGCTGAATCACAGGGAAGAGAGTGTAGAGGGGTCAAGGGCTGCACACTGTTGAGCCTTACCTATTGCACGTCGCTAGCATCGGCTCTCAGTAAGTGTCTGTTGAGGACTTTGGAAGCATGGATCGGACTTTCCAAAGTAATTTTTTTTTTTTTTAACTTGGTTCACTTTAATCCATGATACAAAGACTGCTTATGAGAGAAGATGTTGTGGACAACATTCATTTCCTCTTCTCTGTCATTTCCTATGGCTAGATATGTAATCCCCAGGGCTCTAGAGAGGCCTTCCACATTCCTGAATTTAAAGAAGCTTATGTAACTCTTTTTTTTTTTTTTCAGTGTGCCTGAGAAAATAGTTGTTCAAGCAAGCTTTTCTTCATTACTCTGTTTTCCAACTTCTCTGTATTTTTATCTGAATGATGATCTTTTGAGCTGTAGGGGTAGTTGGGAGAGAAGGAAGCGTGATGGCTGAGGGGACAGTCTGCTGCTTGTTCCTCAGATCACGTGGGAGTGCCCTGTGCCAACCACCCAGCTCTCCAGCCTCTGTCCTCAGCTCAGAATCCCAGTCTTCCTGGTGATCTTTCTACAATGTTTACAGAGGCTTTAAGAGAGAGGAGGCGGTGAGGGAGCAATGAGAGAGAAGAGATGTAAGCCTTGAAGATGATGTGGTAATCTGGTAGAGGAAAAAGAGCACGTAGATTTGGAGAAGAGTGAACAAATTCTTCAAGGCAAAATAGTATTAGCAAAAACTCTTGTATAGTTTTATCATTGAAAAGTTAATACTGAGTCAACATAGAGTGATTTCTGTGTCCAGGAGACAGCTGGAGAAATAACAGGAGCTTCCAAATGGAGATGGGCAGATTCCCAGGGTCCTGCTTTAGTTGCTTGGAGTCGAAACTGGGAATTGGGAGAATGGACCCTCATTTTGTCTCTGTCATTTATATCTCTCTAGAATGTTTGAATTGTTATTATCTCTTTCTGAGTCTTACTTTCTTCATCTGTAAAATGAAGGTTTAGATTGAATTTTTTCTAAGCTCTTTTCTAATTTGTAAAATTTTATGATCTAGAAAGAATATCTTCTTTTCTTTCAAAAACATCTTATTTTTATTTATATATTTTTTTGAGATAGAATCTTGATCTGTTGCCCAGGCTGGAGTGCAGTGACACAATCTCAGCTCACTGCAACCTCTGCCTCCGGGTTCAAACCCATTCCCGTGCCTCAACCTCCCAAGTAGCTGAGATTACAGACATAAACCATCATGCCTGGCTAATTTTTGTATTTTTAGTAGAGACAGGGTTTCACCATGCTGTCCAGGCTGTTCTCAAACTTTGGGAGGCCTCAGCCTCAGGATTACAGTGGTAGCCACCACACCCAGCCTGTTTTATTTTTTATGTTAGGTTCAGGAGGTACATGTACAGGTTTGTTATATGGGTATGTTGCATGATACTGAGGTTTGAGCTTCTAAAGATCCTGTTGCCCAAGAAGTAAACATAGTATCCAGTAGGTAGTTTTCCAACCCTTGCTCCTCTCCTCTCCCCACTTTTGGGGTCTTCAGTGTCTATTTTTCCCATCTTTATGTTCCTGTGTACCCCGTGTTTAGCTCACACTTAGAAACTTATAAGTAGAATACCTTATTTTCATTTGACCTTCTTCACCCAAAAGCTTTCAGTTCTTCTCATTTTGGAAGAATGAGAAGCATTCTATCAACAGATATGGAAGCTAAATGATAATACTGCAAGAATAAAAATCTATCATTGATACGGTATTATACAATTTAAAAATACTGACTTGTCAATATATTGTGTTATTTATTAATATGAGAAGAATGTAAGCCATTATTGTGCTCCTAAAATGTTGCTAGACATAAAAAAAAACTGCACAAAAGTACAGTTTTCAAGGAACTAAGAATTTGTTTGGAAAGTATACTTTCATGTGTCAACTGACAGGTAATAATAAGTAGTATCATGAGGCATCTAGTCATTGATTTACTTACTTAAGAAGTTATTATTAAACAACTGTTATATTCCAAGCGATATTCTAGGTGACAGACAGCATCCTGGGAACTCTCCAGGGAGCTTGCATTGTACTAGGGAAAGTAAACAGGCAATGTTGAGCAAAAGAATGATCAACACACCATCAGCTAGTGAGAAATACTATGAGGAAAAGAAAGGTATGCAATAGAAAACAGTTGGTGGGCAACAAAAGTTGATATAGTCAGAGAAGACCTCTCTAAAGCATTGTTATTCTTTAAATTTTACTATAAAAATGTTCAGCATATAAAAAGTTGAAACATTTATACAGTGAACATCATATAACTGCCACTTAGACTCTGTAATTAACATTTTACCAAAAATGTTTACTTTTCTGGTGCATTTAAAAGTGAGTGGCTGACAACAGTATACTTTACCCCTACAAACTTCAGCATATCATTAACTAGAGTTTAATATTTATGGATGATAAATGGACAGTGCAGGTAATATGTGCAGTGAGATAAGGAGAGATTATTGATTCATTAATTTATTCACTTTCCAAGTAACTATTGAGCCCTCACCGGGTGGTAGACACCTTTAGGCTCTGCCTATTTCAGCAGGGAACAAAATGAACAAGAACCCCTACCCTCATGGAGCTTACATTCTACGTAGCAAGACAGATGAAAAGCAAGGTAAATAAGTAAAAGATACTCCTGCTAGATGATGATAATGACAAGTGCTAACTAAACTAGGGACAGAGAATGGGGCAGTGTGTATACGTGTGTGAAGGAGTCACCAAGGCAGTTCCAAAAATGTGGCTAAGGAAGGCATCTCTGAGGGTATCTGAGGACAGAAGGCACTCCAAGTAGAAAGGCTCTGAAGCAGTTCGCTTGGCAAGATGAGTAACAGCAAGCAGGAGAGTGTGGCTGGAGCACAAAGAAAGAGTGGTGGGGACACTGGGGGAGAGATGGTCGGAGGGGTGGAAGTGATTTGACCAGGGTCTCATTCAGTCTCTAAGCATGCAGAATGTATTAGGTGTGCGTTTGCATGTATTGACAGGGTTGTCATTTCTGCTTTGTGCTTGGATCGTCTCCTCGTCAGAGCCACATGCTGCTCCTTCTTCACAGGATCGAGATACAGTATACGGAAACATGATTCTAACTAAAAATGACCCTTTAAAAAATGACTTTATTTATTATCCCGCACAGGTCAAGTAAATACGGACAGGGCCGAAAATATTTTGTAATTCTCTTGAAACGTGTGAATAATAATTGAATCAATATGATGATTAGGTGCTGTTCGTTTCTACCTAGAAAAAAAAAAAGAGTAAATGAACTCCAGGGATCAGAATTCAAAATAACGTTTTATTGAAAGCAAATGACGTAAATATTAGAATATATGAGAGAAACCATAGCATATTTGAAGAACTTTTTACTAATAGGATAGGTTCTCAAATTTGAGATTATTTTGCTCTGTGCATCTTTTTTTTATAATAATCATTTTAAAGCAGGGGTCCTCAACCCCTGGTTCCAGCCTACAGCAAGTTAGGAGATCGGCTGCACAGCAGGAGGTGAGTGGTGGGCGAAGGAGCAGAGCTTCCTCTGTACTTACAATGGCTCCCCCTCACTTGCATGGCCGCTCCTCCTCCTAGGTCAGCCATGGCATTAGATTCTCACAGGAGCGTGAACCCTACTTGATCTGCACGTGTGAAGGATCTAGGTTGCATACTCCTTATGAGAATCTAATGCCAGATGGAAGGTCTAGTTGCAGGAAAACAAGCTCAGGGCTTCCACTGGTTCTACGTTATGGTGAGTTGTATGATTATTTCATTATATGTTACAATGTAATAATAATGTAAATAAAGTGCATAGTAAATGTAATGCGCTTGAATCACGAAACCCCTCGCCCCCAACCCGCCACCCTGGTCCGGGTTAAAATTGTCTTCCACAAAACCAGTCCCCGATGCCGAAAGGGTTGGGGACTGCTATTTGAAAGGGCTTCCTTATTGTCAGGCACTATGCTTGTTGCTTTAAGCTTTATTATTTCAAAATGACTCTGGAAAGTTTTCAAGATAATTAGTGGATTGGATCCTTTAAAAATCATTTTAAAGGCTGAAATGGCTTTTAGTTTTTATAGTTTGTTCCCTCCATTTCTCCCCATTCTCCTCTAACTGAAAATATCCCATTGTAAACATCTAAAATTGCTTTCCACTGGGGAATTCCAAGATGACATTGCTGCTTTTCACAAGAATACATAAGGGACACAGCCTACTTCTTCCTAAACAAAGGTGGAGTTCTAATTAGTTCTAATCTAGGTATGAGGGTGCTGGGGAGAGCCTGGAAGAGGTGGTCACTCTTCTTTCTAAGTGCCCTGATACTACTGGCAGGGCGGAAGCCTGTGATGCAGAGATGCTTTCTGCAGTGTGTGGGAAGACGTTTACAGTAGTTGTTTAATGCTTCACAGGAAGTACATGTTTTTATCTGAATGACATGTTCTAGGTAAAAGGTGTAGAGAGATTGTTAACGTCTAGCTTATCATGCATAGCATGTCTGAACATAGTGCACCAAATGAAAGGGTTTTAAATTTCCTCCTGGTTGTGGGTGACCCACTTGGGCAATGTGGAAGTGAGGATCCTAATCCGTGTGACAAGAACCTTGCAGCACAGCCTGTAACATTCAAAGCGGCAGAAAAACCCTGTGCTTTCTCTTCTGTTATCCTGCCTTTGTTTAAAGAGTCTTGTGAGTCCATCCAGGATCATGAATGTCTTAGCCAAGGAATGTTGGTAGATGCAGAAAGCACGTGCTAATGGAGAAGACAAGTTTGACTATGGAATGTAGCATGGGTGATTTCCTTTTATTCGTGGAGCTGTCAGAACAAACAGGCGTTGGATATATTCAAGCACTGGAGATACACACACACACACACACACACACAGACACACACACATATATACACACAATTTTTTTGTTTGTTTATTTTTGAAACACAGTTTTCGTTCTTGTGGCCAAGGCTGGAGTGCAGCGGCGTTTTCCTGGCTCATTGCAACCTCCACCTCCCATGTTCAAGTGATTCTTCTGCCCCAGTCTCCCTAGTAGCTGGGATTACAGGTGTGTGCCACCATGCCTGGCTAATTTTTGTATTTTTAGTAGAGATGGGATTTCATCATGGTGGTCAGGCTGGTCTTGAACTCCTGACCTCAGGTGATCCCCCTGCCTTGGCCTCCCAGCCTGCTGGGATTACAGGTGTGAGCCACCACACCTGGCCAAGCTTTGGATATGTAATTTACAAATTGCCTAGAGACCTGCCAGCTGGGAAGCCACTGTCTTCTTGAACACCTTCTGTCATGAGGTGGCCCAATTAAAGAGGCCTTGAATCTTTCCATTTATGAAAAAACTCTACATGGAGTTGTAATATGGTTCATGTTATTTCCATCCAATCATGATGGCTTTACCTTCTGGAGATAAAAATATTAAATCTAGTATCATTGTAAGGGCAGTTTTTATATATTTCTTGGAAAAAAAAACAGACCATACTTTACCCATCTTGTTTCCTTCTAAATATCCACAGTAACCTTATTCAATATAAAATGTTTTCCAAGCCCTCTTTGCTATACTCCGGTTAACATTTTGAAGTGGGAAATAGACTTAATGTTCTGGGGTGTGAGCTGAGCAGTGCTTCCATTGATAGAATGGACAGCAACTGCAATCCTGTTTGGTAGCCAACCACCCTTTGACATTACATTCATCTGGGCACGCATTACGTCATTTGTCCTGGGATTCTCAATTATTTTATTAACTTTGAATATATGTATATGCTTCTTTGATGAATGAAGATTCATAGAATTCTATATAGAGGAACTGCTGTCTGGGTCAACCATCCCATGATTTGCCTCCAATAATAATCAGCTATTTGACAAGAAACGGTTGTCTAGTGTGCTCCTTCTGACAAGCACACACGAACAGTAATTTCACAAATAGGTATTATCTGTTGTGTGCCAAATACTATACGATGAACTAGTAATAGGAACCTATATAAGACAGAGCTTACAGTTTAGTGAAAGAGAAATTTTTGTAGGGATGATTTCAGTACCGTTTGCTTACTCATAAAATTCAGCACTGAGAATCAATCACCTATGAACTTATTTTAACCTGTTAGAAACCTGCTTCTACTTTTTTTTCCATTCCTGGAAACGCAAGAGGGTAAATCTAATAACCTATAGCATTTTACATTGATTCTAAACATTTCCTTTTTACATTTCAAGAGGTATATCATAGTTCTGTTCTACTTGAAGTTATTGAACAAGTTAGTTCTATCTATGTTCTTGTTATATCAGTTGATACAATAAAAATAACATGGCTATAGTTGTATAGCAACTTTCAAAGCATTTTCTCATTTGGTTCTCATGACAATCTACAGTTACATTTTTCATAGTTAATGCCAGGGATAATACTGAAAAGGCCTTTCTGTACAACAGATTTACAGTCTCTGGAAAGACAACTCTTAGTATTTTAAGTAGATATTAGTCATTTTCTTTTCTTTTAGACCAAAATTTTCTCTCTGGCAGGATACAGGCCTTTAATATATTTAATAGGCTCAAATAGTGTTGAAATAAATAAAACCCAGAGGCTCCGGATCTTGTTAGTAGATGTTTCCCGAGCTAACCACAGTTGGCTAGACCCTAGGTCCTACTGACTGCCATGAATGGGTGTTTTATTTCCAGCTTACTGCAGCCTGCACCTGTCCCAAATACACATGTGTAAACTTCCACCCAGGTTGTCTCTAACCTCTGGTCCATTACAGCTTCTGCTTTTGTGGCCTGAGGCAGCTCCTAAGCAATAGACACAACATCCCAGTAGCTTTTATGTCTCAGGCACTTTGTATGTTTTATAAATAGTAATTGTGAACGACTTTATTTTACTGAGGGAGGAAAACAACCAGGCAGGGATAATTCTTATGTTTGCTAAAATGGCTAAGTAGACTTATTTTTTTAAAAAAAAGTTGGTTTACTGATATGCACCAGTAGTTTAGGGTCTTCGTGGAGCTGCGTTACTTTTATTTTGAAGGTTTTGTTTTTTAAGGTTAAAAATAATCTGGCACTCAAAATTTATTTCGGGCCAGGCGCGGTGGCTCAAGCCTGTAATGCCAGCACTTTGGGAGGCCGAGGCAGGTGGATCACGAGGTCAAGAGATCGAGACCATCCTGGTCAACATGGTGAAACCCCGTCTCTACTAAAAATACAAAAAATTAGCTGGGCATGGTGGCGCTTGCCTGTAATCCCAGCTACTCAGGAGGCTGAGGCAGGAGAATTGCCTGAACCCAGGAGGCGGAGGTTGTGATGAGCCGAGATCGCGCCATTGCACTCCAGCCTGGGTAACAAGAGCGAAACTCCGTCTCAGAAAGAAAAAAAAAAAATTATTTTGAGTTTGTTTCTATTGTATAAAACACACATCTACTTTATGATCTAATCTGATTAATATATCTTTTTTTAGGTCACTGAAATGATTCTAGAAATGTCTCTTGAAGTTTGGTAAGTGCATTTATTTAATTGGATGACAAATACTGTGAGTGATGCACTAATTTATTTGAACTGTTAAAGGATATACTTTATATATATACAATTCTGACAGCTTTGAACATATAAAAGTGCATTACATTTACCTTGTTTTTTGTTAGTTATCTGTTGATAGCTACAGAATTTTTACAAACATATTCTTACATTCATTATTCTTTTATTTTAATATGCTTTGCTTATTTTTCCAATAGTTTGCTGGTCATATAATAATGTCCGAAAAAGTGCTTTTCGGAAGAGTCCTCTCTCTAGTCATATATCTATCCCCATAGAAATGAATGGAGTTTTTTAAGTGCATCTTCTATTGTTGATTGAGGCAGCTATTCAAAAACATAGAAGTGAACATAAACAGGAAACTATAATCCTATTTATAGAGGGAAAACTGAAAATTGAGACTGATTTTGTTCACAGTAACCCAGCAGGACCACTACTAATTAAGTTCCATGAATCATGCTGCTCTTTCAAAGTGGCCTCCAAAAATGAATATTAAGAAATCATGTACTTATTTTCAAGTGGTGAATTTTAGGGGAGGCAGGTCTGCTTTGATCTAAGTGATCTCTGATGTAATAATGAGTTCCCTTAACCTTTCTGCATCTCTTTGAACTTCCCTGTTGAACTTGATTTGACCAAAGTTACTAATACATATTTTACACAAATGCCACAAAAATTAACTTAACATTTTCACATCTGGTGATTTGCCAAATGTATGATAATGGGTACATTGGGTTTAGGAATTTATTCGTCCTGTTTTGATCCCTGGAACATGTTGATTTGACTTAGTAAATGATTGGCATTTATTTCCACAGCCTATTAATATATGTCAGCAAATATCAAAGGATAGTCCAAGTTATTGTGCTGTATATTTTGTATTAAGTTCATTCTTGCTTAAAAGTGGTATATTTTGGCATAAGATTAGAAACATTTTTTATTTGACTGACTATGGAAGTAATACTTTTGTTTAATGGGAAATAGTCTTCACTGCAGTAATTAGAACCATATTTTTATAATATTAAAAACTTCTCTTTCTATATGTTAATTTATGTCAGCTCTGTAATAGAAATTGTTTTCAAGGAAAAATTCAATTTATTCAAAGAAAAATTTTCCACATAATACCTTCTGTTAAAAAATGAGAAAATCAAGAAAGAATTAATTAGAAAGTTAAATATAATGCATAAAAGAAGTAAATTAACCATAATTCCATTACTGCATTTATAAAATTACTCAGAATTTTTTGAATTTTCATCTAGATTTTAAAAGCTGATATCTTTAAAACATCTAGGTCATTATACTGTTCAAAATTATTTTTAAATCAGGATCATTTTTTAAAAATTATATATAACAGCACAGTATATTACAAAGAACATGGCTTCCAGAACAATAAGACCTAGATTTAAATCTACTACTTGTTAATTATGTTAATCATTGATAGATTTCTAGTCACTTTTTTACTCACTGATGAAATAAGAAAAGAATACTTTCTAAGCATATCTGCTGTGATTAAATGAGATATTCTTTCTAAAGAGTATATATATAATAGGATACTTTCACACATGCATACCACATGCTAATAATGGTACTGCTTTTAATAGTTTACAAAACATTGGAAATTATTTCAGTGTTTATGGATAAATAGATTATAGTATACTAATATAATGAAAATACTACACAATGGTAAAAATGTTTGAATTACTTCTATTAATATAAGCACAGATGATTCTCAAAAAACAAAGTGCTCATTGGAAAAAATAATTTGCACTGATAGCGTTTATAACAAAACTGGAAACCTGCAAAATGACTTTGTTATTTAGGGACATAAGTATACATTGTAAAATTATAAACAAATATATTAGAATGATAAAGATTAAATTTAAATAGTGGTTACCTTTAAGAAGCAGAAAAGGAAATAAAATTGAGTGGGTTTCATATAAGAAACTATACAGGCAAAATTTTAATTTCTTATAGTGGTTAGCAGATACCTAACCTTATATGTTATTATAAAGAATAGTAACAGAAAAAGACTGGACTTAAAAAATGTTAACTCACTATCTTACTGTATTCCCCCTTGTTACATAATTTCTAAAATCAGATTTAGTAATTTTATAACCCAATACTTTTATATACAGTTCAACAACCATTTCTTTAAATTATCTTTAAAAATTTTTGGTTACTTTCCTTAAAGTAGCTATCCAGAAATAGAATTATTAGGTCAAAAGGAATGCATATTCCAATTATTATTCAATATGCCATATTGCTAATAGGCCTAATTCGAATATTACTTTTTAACAAACTTATATTCCCAAAATGTATGTATGAGAATGTTAGTGTTATTTTAGCTTTCTAGCACTAAAAAATAAGTATTTAAAATATTTTAATAACAGTATCATTTAAATTCACTAGTGAAATTACGTTTTTTTGTTATTTATTGTACTTTCTCTTTTGTGAGGTAGCTATATTTGTCCTTTGGGAAGTTCTAATTATTATTTGTAAGAGTCAGATATGATCATAAAGAAAATAGCTCAGAGGCTTAGCAGTCTCATTCTATATTTTACAAGGAAGAAATATATTGAACTAACATAAATGAGATTTAAAATTGATTTACAATTAAGGTAAGGATTTTTATGAATGGTAAAGAGACAAATACTTTGTTGGTGATAAATCTTGACTTCTGTATTTTGAATTTATTCGTATTCCAAAATAGACTGATCTATATTTTAAAGTATTTTTAAATTCAGTAGTTGGTATTTAGACTTCAGTACTAAGATATGTCTTGTTGCGTGGTGAAAGTACATCACATGGGTGCTATGTGTTCCTAACCTCTCAGAGCATCAGTTTTCTAATTGATAAATCTGCAATATATAATAATAGATTGTATAATAATGTGTAGTGATTACTCCCATTGTTCTTGCGATGATTCATATGTAATACGTAATGTGGTTTCTGGCATAGTGTAGAGAAATTGCTGTTGCCTTTATTAACAAGGAAAAGTACATATAATTTAAGGATTCTAAAGTCCTCTAGTTGTAAACTCATTTGGTGATCTCAAGTTCTGCAGTTAGAAGTTCCTTTCTTTGTCAGAGGGGGGCATCCATCAGACAAGGCAAGTATGTTCCTCAGAATGCAGGCTCTTTGGGATGTTAGCAAGTATGATGGTGGAAGAGTGAAGGGTGGAAGGATGTGGGAAGGAATTCTTGGTCAAGTGGGTTTGGGAGATCCTAGTGCCAAACAAACATAAACGGGATTCTTTACTGAAGCACTTCCCAGTCTTTTTCTATAATATTCGACTTATCAGGGGCTGTTTGTTTGCTTGTTTATTTTATCTAAAAAATTGAAAACTCCTTTTTCTCTGAAAACATGCTGTGGAAAATGCTGCTTTAAGACAGGCATGAGTTTATACTCTTATTTTAGGTCCCTTCTTAGGAAATGGCTTGAGGGAAGCAGTCAGCATACATCAGTGTAGCTCAGAGGGACTTGGGGAGCTGGCTGGATGGAAAACCAGGCTACTGGGAGCACTCACTCATGACTTTATCTGTTTGGTATTACAGCTCATGCCCAGACCTACGATTTAGTATGGCTCTGTGTGATCAGGAGAAGACTTTCAGACAACAGAGGAAAGAACACATAAGAGAAAGCATGAAGAAACTGTTGGGTCCAAAGAATAGTGAAGGATTGCATTCTGCACGTGATGTGAGTTGGAAACTTTTCACATGTTATACTTTGATAATAATTTAGCTTGGACAATTTCTCCAAGAATTTTACCCAAATAAGGCAATTTTGAGATTGAGCATTATTCCTTTAGTCTTTTAAGGTAAGGTAATGATTTGTAAATGAAAACTCTTTGAGGAAGATAATCGCAAATGATGCCCTATTTGGTAATATTTATCAGCTATAGTTTTTATTTTTATGTTTTAGAGCAGTGTTAAGTTCACAACGAAACTGAGCAGCAAGCACAGAGAGTTCCAATATACTCCTCTCCCTGCACAACCTCCCAAGTTTATTCAGCTTCTTCAGAGAAACAGAACCAAAAGATATACACAGTAGATAGGAGATCTATTATGAAGCTTGGCTCACATGGTTGTGGAGGCCAGGTAGTTCCACAATGTGTCATCTGCAAGCTGAAGAACCAGGAAAGCCAGTGGTGCAATTTAGTCTGAGACTAAGGTGCAGCAGTGGAGTAACTCCCAGGCAGACTGGGCAGTCGGAGCAAGAGGTGGACATCTTGGAGTCTGAAGGTAGGAGAACTAGGAACAACAGTGTCTAAAGGCAGGAGAAAAGGGAGGTCTCAGCTCCAGGACAGAGAGAGACTTGCCCGCCTTCCACCTTTTGTTCCCCTCCAGCCCTTCAAGGATGGAATGACGTGCACCCACTGGCGAGGGTGGGTCTTTACTCAGTGTGCTGATTCACATATTAATCTCTTTGGAGAACACCCTCATGAGCACCCCCAGGAAGAATGCTTTTCTAGCGATTCGAGTATCCTTTAGTCTGGTCAGGCTGATAAATAAAATTAACGATTATACTGCGTAACTCTCAACATCTCACACCAGAGTGGTACATTTGTTACAATCAATGAACCCACACTGACACATCATTATCACACCCAAGACCACAGTTTACCTTAGGGCTCACTGTTGGTGGTGTGCATTCTGTGGGGTTTGGACAAATGTGTAATGACACGCATCTACCATCGTAGTATCATACACAGTAGTTCACTGTCCTCGACATCCTCTGTGCTCCACCTATTCATCTCTCCTCCCCACCCTTGGCCCGCTGATACTTTTACTTTTACTGTCTCCATTGCTTTGCCTTTTGTCAGTTTGCCTAACGTCATATAGTTGGAACCATACAGTATGTAGCCTTTCCAGATAGGCTTCTTTCACTTAGTAATATGAATTTAAGTTTCCTCCATGTCTTTTCATGGCTTGGATAGTGAATTTTATTTTAATACTAAATATTCCATTGTGTAGATGTACCACATTTTATTTACTTATTTATATATATGTATTTTTCAAAGGCATAGTTCTATATGCCTAAAATGGTGTTTATTTTATCAATAGGAAAAGTTTAGTCTCAGTAATAAAAGGATTAAACTTACTTAATTTAAATGTAGGCTAAAATTAAACTGGAAATTACCATTCTAGAACAAGAAGAAAATGCCGTAAATCTTGTTAATAATAATGCAATTAACAAATGTAGGCAAACATGGTGGGAGAAAAAAGAAAATGTTCCAAATTCTTTATATTTTGTAGTAGAGTTAAATGATATCAAAAATTGACCAAATTATTATTGTACTTTCAATATTTATTTATAATATATGTGTATTTCAATATTTCTCCATAATTAGGATTATAAGTCATTTCTTCATCTTAATGTTTTCTATCATCCTCCATATTATATATATCTCCATAATTAGGATTATAGAAATCATTAAGATGAAGAAATGATTTATAATCCTAATTATGGAGAAATATTAGAATACACATATATTAGAAACAAATATTGAAACTATTATCCTTCAATTGTACTTTTCTTTTTCTTTCCTTAAATTCCAGTAAAATTTAACATGATTTGTACTCCATCATATATCTTATAATCTACTTTTGGCTACCTATCCATTCATTCATTTCTTCTACGTATCTATCATTCACCTATCTAATCTACTTATCTGCCCCTCTCTCTCTCTCTCTCTCTCTCTCTCTCTCTCTCTCTCTCTCTCCATCTTTCTATCTGAAACCTACAAAGATTAATTGCTGCAGTGACGCTCATCAAATGATAATGAAGTTTCTGGTTAGTGGCATATCAGGTAAATTTTTTACTTATTTTTTTATTTGAGCTTTTCTGTTAATTGAATACATCAAGTGAATATACTTTATTTTCATAAAAATAATATTTTAATTAAATACATCAGTAAACATATATGCATAGTGTTGTACACTCTTGAATTATTTCTTGTAGGAATTAATTTCATTAAATTTTTCCTAAAATAATTTCATAAATAATTTCTTGAATTCTTATAGGAATTCAAGATTATTGCACATTAAAGGCAGAATGCAGCTGGAAATAAGACATACATTCTGAGTAAGGGAGTGAAATGACCACTCCTGTCCCACATGTGGTTGAAGATTTCCAAATATGTTTTAGGCGTGCCTAGGGTTCAGAAGCCAGCCTACTAATGCTAGAGTGGCTTGCGTTGTAATGGGAGCAGACTCTAAGTTAAGATGCTGTTTAAGGGGAATTTTCGCATAAAGGAAACTAAGGAGAGAAGTGAAACCTTCATTTAAGTTTGTGTTTTAGAGAGAGACTTCTCTTCAATCCTGCATCTACTGTTTTGTTTTGTTTTGATTTGTTTTGTTTTGTTTTAGAGAAAGGGTCTTGCTTTGTTGCCCAGGTGGGAGTGCGGTGGTGCAGTCATAGCCCACTGCAGCATCAAAGTCCTAGCCTCCTAAGTAGCCAGGACTATGGGTGATGCTGCTACACCCAGATAGTTTTGTGTGTGTGTGTGTGTGTGTGTATATATATATATATATATATATATATATATATATATATATATATATATAGTTTGTTTGTTTGTTTGTTTGTTTGTTTTGTTTTTCCTAGAGGTGAGGTCTTGCTATATTGCCCAGATTGGTCTCAAACTCTTGGGCTCAAGCCGTTCTCCCACCCTGCCTGCCAAAGTGCTGAGATGACAAGCACATGCCACCACGCCTGGCCAAATCCCGTATCTTGCTTGTCACTGTAATAGATCCCTCTTAGAATGTGTGGTTATCTTGTCAGGCTAATTAGTTCTTGAAAAAGAATGTGTGGTTATCTTGTCAGGCTAATTAGTTCTTGAAAAAACTGCTTTCTCTATACATTATTCAGAAATGTCTAGCTTCTCTGAAGCTTTTAGTGTGTGCGTATTTCTTTTAATTTAGATAACTTTTCAGTAGCAATTCTACAACGTTTTTCTTTTTGTCTCCGTCCTTATTTAGTATTGGTATACCCTCAAGACAGAAAAACTATACTACAAATTCATTTCATTTCTAATACTGGTTATTTATTGAGGTACTGTGCTAGGTGCTAGAAAAGAATAAAGCTGAGATGGGTAGCCCTGAGGACTTACTTTCCTTAGTGATTTTTAAAGCCTTGTTTGGAAGAATGATATTTAAGCAGACAAAACCAAGGACGTGATGTGTTAAGTTCTTAATAAAGAGGTGTGAACTGAGGGACAGGATAATTGCAAGAGGGTGACTCACTCTCTCTGCAGTAGAGATGATAGAAATGTGTTTCAGAGTTGAAGACTGTTGGCCATGCCTTGAGGTGTGAGCTTGCTAGAAGAACAATTAGGAAATTCATATTTCTTTTAAGTCAAGATTGTCAACTTTATTTGGGAAATCGTGCCTTGCAATCTCAGAGGTTCCCGGCCTAAGCGCTTTCCACTTATTTGCAACAATTATTTTTTTTACTGCTATCAGCCGGATACTTCCTGTTCTCCTCGAGACAGATAGTCCTGTCTCTTAATTGAAGAGAAATGAAAAGGAGATGACAAATGCTTCATTTCTTGCTATGGAATTGACATACTCCATAACCAATGCCTGTCCTGTAACTTCCCTCCCAGTTCAATGGAGAAACGATTCCCCTTTCCTTCTAAATGCAGACGCCCATCAGATCTGGATCCTAAGCTCCTCTTGAGAACCCCAATGTCACTACGATTCAGATTTTCCCAGGTCACTCTCAACCCATATTGTCAGCATCCACCTCTGTGTGGATATTTCCTATAAAAATTGAAACATGTTCTAAACTCCAATATAAAAAGAAAACAAGAACAAAAACCATTTCTTGGATTCTGTATTCTCTCCTCCCTTCTGCTCTGTTTCCTCCCCTTACCTTCACAAACATCTCCAGAATTTCCTGTACAAGCTCATTCTCTGCCTCCTTTGATCAGGAGTGTTAATAAACACACGGGATCTTGTTCTCGCCCTATCTTACCTAACCTTGCAGCGGCAAATGACACGCCTCCTTGCGCCTTGAAACATTGTCTGCCCTTCGCGTACGACATTTTCGTGGCCTTCATCATGCCTTTTTGGTGTTGTGTACCAGCTGTTCTTCATCTGAGCATTCCTTAAATATAGCCGTTCCTCAAGTCATAGTTCTAAGTCCTCTTTATCCTCACTCCATTTTTTTTTTTTTTTTCGAGATAGGGTTTCACTTTGTCACCCAGGATGGAGTGCAGTGGCACCATCTTGGCTCATTGCAGCCTCAACTTCCCAGGTTTAAGTGATCCTCCTGCCTCAACCTCCCAAAGTGCTGGGATTACAGGTGCATCCTACCATGCTGTGTGAGACATACATTTTTCCAGCCAATTGGGATTTAAATCTAGGATTCTCAGCAGGGTGTGGTGGCTCTCACCTGTAATCTCAGCATTTTGGGAGGCCGAAGCAGGAGGATCAAGACCAGCCTGGCCAACATGGCGAAAACCCATCTCTACAAAAAATACAAAAAAATTAGGCATGGTGGTACACACCTGTGGTCCCAGCTATGTGGAAGGCTGAGGCAGGAGGATCGCTTAAACCTGTGAAGTAGAGGCTGCAGTGAGCCAAATTAGCATCACTGTGCTCCAGCCTGGGCGACAAAGTGAGACCTTGTCTCAAACAACAACAATGACGAAAAAGCAATTTCAAATCAAAACCACATTGAGATACCATCTC